AAAAAAAAAAAAAAAAAAAAAAGAATTAAACCAAAAAGCAAAATTACTTTTAAGCCCTTCCTTGTGAAGGGAAAATAAATTAATTAATTAATTAATGAAAAAAGAAACAAATATTCGAGCTTCCAACGTAGGTGTGAATGTAAAGGGGTCGGGCTTGCGCTCCAAAGAAGGCGTCAGTCTGGACAGTGTTGATCTTCAACGATGATGAGATTAATGGTGAAGAACTAGGGTTTCTCTTCTTCCCCCAAGTTCTACGGCTCTTCCAATCCCAAAACACCTCTCATTTCTCTGTCAAATACTCTCAATTCCTTCCCATTTTCACCACTCTGGCTTCCCTCCCTCACGGATGGCCAAAACCAGACCGCCCAAGAAAGACTTGGACTCTTACACTATCAGAGGCACCAACAAGATCGTTAGAGGTAATCTCCTTCGCTTACAACTTTCAAAACTTGTTTCGTTTTCCCCCTTTCTCTGTTCGTCTAATGCTGTTTTTTTTTTTTTTTTTAATAACTTCTGATTTGATGGATTCTGCAGTCGGAGATTGTGTTCTGATGCGCCCGTCGGAAACGAGTAAACTACCTTATGTAGCGCGCATCGAGAAGATCGAAGCTGATAATCGAAACAATATTAAAGTTCGAGTGCGGTGGTACTATCGGCCGGAGGAGTCGATTGGAGGTCGGAGGCAGTTCCATGGAGCTAAGGAGCTCTTCTTGTCGGATCATTACGACGTGCAGAGTGCTCACACCATTGAAGGGAGGTGCACTGTTCACTCATTTAAAAACTACACTAAGCTTGAGAATGTTGGTGCTGAGGATTATTATTGTAGATTTGAGTACAAGGCTGCTACTGGAGCTTTCACGCCAGACCGAGTTGCTGTGTGAGTTTTCATCTTTTCTGTTGTCGAATGTGTTCTTCTTGTGCAAATTTTTTGAATCGGTTTCCGATTTTTTTTTTTTTTTGTTTTTTTCTTGCAGCTATTGCAAATGTGAAATGCCTTACAACCCAGACGACCTCATGGTGCAATGCGAGGGCTGTAAGGACTGGTAAATGTCCATGTTAATTTTGGGAAATTAATGCTTTCTTTTGTGAACTGAATCGCTGATTTCTCCGTTGTATTTGGAATTTCCAGAGCGAAGTGGTTTGTTTATAGCATAATGAACCAAGAGAGTGAGTTTAGGATAACTTTTAAAGTAGTGCTTTAAAGTCGCACACTTTTTTATGAGAACTTTTTGAAAGGAGCACTAGTTAAATACTTCTCACTTTAAAAGTTATTTGAGTGTTCTTAGATTTTTTTCACAATCACTTTTGGGTTATGTGACCAAACATCATGAACATTTAAGAAGTATTTTTAATTGGTTAAAAGTCAGCTTTATGAAACTCACCCTAAGTTTATATGAATTAACAATTAAAAAATGTTTACTCAAAGATAGAGTTCTAGGTGCACTGAATTTGGCTTTGGCATATGGTCATCTGCAGTTCCTTAGCATTCTGACCTCAGACATTAGATTAAGCCGTACAAAGGTCACCTTAATCAATTAACTTGCTATTGTCCTATCCATAGGTGGGGAACTAACCCTCAAAGTGCAATGTGATGTACAGTTTTCCATGGATTTTAATTTGTTGTTAGAAATAGAATATTCACTTCAACTCTATAAGAACAAAATAGCTAAGTTCTGATTGGAGTGGTTATATTATATCATTTTGTTTCGTACTGGAACTTGAAAGTCTCGAAGTCAGGAGTTCAGTCTAGCGACGTTGTTTCTTTTTGAAAGTACAAAAACTCTTATGTTTCCTTTGGTCTTCAGGTATCATCCGGCTTGCGTAAGTATGACTATCGAGGAAGCAAAAAAGTTGGACCATTTTGTGTGTTCTGAATGTGCATCTGATGCTGACATCAAGACAAATGAGAATACATTTTCAGCATCACCGGTGGCTGATAGCAAGGTTAGTAACTGTTGTCTGTTACGTATATTGGTAGTTGGATATCAATCATCTTTGTCAGCATATTATCCTTTATGTACTTTTATTCACGTCAGATGACTTTTTCTCCTTCCTGGTGAATTTAAAGATTTAACTCAGAAGCACAAGTATAACAAGAAGACAATTGAAATATACAATGTTTGGATTAGTTTATGCTAAATGTGCAGACCATAAGTTTGGTTCATTTCCAATTACAGCAATCATGTTTTAATTTCAAGGTTTTTCTTTCGGTTCACTTTCTACTTCTTTTTTCTTTCCAAAAACCAGTCTTATGATCGTTAAATGCCAGCCATTCGGCTTCCCCTTTTTATTATTATTTTTTTTTTTTTTTGTGCTGATAACCAATTTTAGTTTCTCGTCTACTTTCACGTGAAAATGGTTATATGTAGGAATATATTGTTTTCTTTTTCTGCATATGCCAAATATTCCTCTTGCCCAAGAAAATTATTATAGATACCTAAAACGTGTCTGTGTGTATGATAAAAAGAGTTGAGAGCTTTGGTCAATTCGATTCATCAATGAATTCAAGTTCATTTTTCATAACAAAAATGAGTTCCTTATTTTCCAATATTGTCTTTTATTGGGCTTTAATAATTATCATAATAGTCAACTTTTCTGTGACACCTGAGTAAAGGAGGGGTATATGAATGAATCGAGACCATATTTAAATGAGATTGATCGTGAGGATAAGATAACTAAGAAATGCTTAAAAGAATTGAAGGTCACTGTCTATAACAACAAAGTGTACCTTCTTTTTCGGTGGCTCAATCATAGGAACTCTATGGTTAAGTGTGCTTTACTTTGAGCAATTTTATGTTAGGTAATCTCCTAGGAATTTTCCTGGGATGCATGTGATTGAGTACAAAACATGTTCGAAGGACTCGTTATGGTTTATGGGGATAGTTTTCACTCTTAAGAAGCGAGGAACGTAGGTAACGTGACAATATCGTAGGAACTCCATGGTTAAGCATGTTTTACTTGGAGTAATTTTATGTTGGGTAACCTCCTAGGAATTTTCATGGGATGCATGTGAGTGAGAACAAAACATGTTGGAAGGACTTGTGTTGGCATGTGAGAATAGTTTTCACTCTTAAGAAGCAATGAACGTTGGTAACGTGACAATGTCGTAGGGGAATGTTGAGGCCATCTGGTGCCAAATCTGGATTCTTAATCCTGGGCATGAATCGTACAAATGGTATCAGAGCGATACTCTCCTAGTAAGATGTGGTTTGGGGACGAACCAACGCGAAAATTGGTGGACATCTGACACTTAGGTAAAGGAGAGGTATATGAATAAACCGAGATCACATTTGAGTGAGAGCAATCTTGAAGATAGGAGGATTGAGAAAGGCTTGAAAGAATTGAAAGTCATACCCATACCAACAAGGTGTACCTATTCTTTTTTGGTGTCTCGATAGTAGGAAAGTTAAGCATGCTTTACTTGAGCAATTCTATGTTGAGTGACCTCCTAAGAATTTTCCTTGGATGTGAATGAGGACAAAGCATGCTAGAAACACTCTTAAGAAGCGAAGAACGTAGGCAATGTGACGATGTCACTAGGGATGTAGGGGAATGCTGAGGTCATCAGGTGCCAAATTCGGGTTCCAAATCATGAGCATAGGTCGTTACATTTTTAGTTGCTTCTATGTAGTTTTTCAACCTCCCATTGCAAGGTTCGGGTATAATTGTGACAAAAAAATCCTTTGATCCAAGTTAGGAGGACATTATTCGTTGGGAGATCATCTTCCCAAAAGTTAAGAATCAAAATATTAGTACTGAAATCTTCTCTCTCCCACCCCTCTGGACAAAATCAATGCTTTCTTATCTGTCAATGCCAGTTCATTATCAACACGATACCCATTTAGTTTTTCCATTTTTTGACTTGAGTGCCTGGGAACACTGTTAATATAGTGCGAAATGTAACTTGCTTTCTATGGTCCGAAAAAATGATTTTTTTTTTTTTTTTTTTTTTTAATTTGGATTTAATCTCTCTGCTTTTGCCACATCTTTCATTTATTTTTTATTCAACTATTTAACAAAAGTGTCTAAAGTTGAACGGTATAGCTTTTAAGTCCTGTTATGTTACTCTTTTATCTGTTGTTTCCGTTGCTTATCCACATAAAAGAAAATATAGTGCAAGTTATCTTTCATAATGATATCATATTTAAATTAAATCTTGAATTTCATCTAAAGTTAACTTTGATTTGCATTCCTAACACGTCAAGGCCATTGCATCAAATGCTTTTTCTTAAGATCGATATTTCCTTTGTCTCAGCTGAAAGTCATCTAGCATCTATCATCAAACAATGGGGCATATTTATGTTGCTTCAAAATTTTAGGTTGAATTACAACTTTAGTCTCTCAGCTTTTAAGGCCATTTCTAATATGTTTTGTAGTTCAAGAAGTTCAGGTTTTTAATTATAAATTTTGTGAAACTTTTGCAGTACAATGCTGAAAATGTTGCAGGTCCCATTTATATTCTATATTTTAAAAAAATTATAGGCCTATAAGACAAAATTCTTACTTGATTATGTACTTTCAACTTTAAATCTAATAGATTAGTGAATTTCACAAAATGTCAAACATGACAAGAATCTATTGAACCCAAAATTGAAAGTTAAAGGGATTTATTAGATACTTAAAAGTTAAAAGATTCATTGAAATTTAAGCTAAATTTTACATTTGTAGTAAAGGGATGAAACTTGTGTAGGTTCATACTTCCACCTCACTGCTAGAGAAATCTGCATTTCAATAATTCCTTTTTAATGCACACCATTAAGTGCTCTCTTTTTCCCGGCCTTCTGAACTAAGTCCTGCATACTTCTTTGTTGAAAGAACATACTTTTTTTGGGTAAGATGGAAAAGACATACATCAACTTTCAGCACTATCATTGAGCAAAGTAGTAAGCATTTCTCGACCGATAGGGAGAGGGGCGCTTTGTTTTCGTTTTCTTAACGCCTCTTAGTTGTTTCACATTGGAAGCTTGTCCATTTCTAAACCTACATCACTAGTTGGAATTTCTGGGAAAATCCCACCTCCAATAGCATCCATTTTCACCATTTTTTCCCGGGACTTTGTCAAGCTATAAGTACTCTAGTAATCTCTGTGACAACAGATGGCTCAGGCAGGTAAGAATATTAATGGAAAATAGATGAAACCAACTTCCCTCACTGACCAAACTACAAGTTCTGCCTGTTTAAGGAAGGGAAGAATCATCAGTTTCTTTAAGATTCCAATTCTTTAATGTATTTTTATATGATGTGTGGTGTAAAACGATTAACCGAACGTTTGTTATTGCAGCTAGAGTCGAAGCGACAGAAGAGATGACCACTGCCAGTGGGACTCTTTGTTGGGTTCAACATAGCTTGGATTTCGTTGAGTAAAACTTTTGTATTATGACTGAAGGAAGCTATATATATATGTGTGTGTGTGTGTGTGTACTGTGAATGATTTAGTGTAGGGGTAGGGGTTTAGGGAGTTTCTTAATAACAATTCAGGCTGGTCTTGTTGTATCCTTTTGGTAAACTCTCTCTTCTGTTTCTGTCTTGACAGCTTTTAATGTGACCGAACACTGGAAAGTGGAAACAGAAACTTTAGAGGTTGCTGAAAATGCTGAATACAAGTGTGCCTATGAAAATAGCCCAACGTATGGACAAATCTGGAGAGGAAAAAAAAATGAACTCTTCTCATTGTATAAATAGCATTTTTATGGGGATGTGAATTTGAATATCCAATCTTAAGAAAAGAATACTTGTCAAATACTAGGAAGCTCACACTCACTTGTTCTATAAACTTTACATAAAAATCTATTTTAATATTTTATTTTGATCTTTAAATTTTTACGCATTTTTATAATATAAGTTGAGGTATGTTAATCATACAACATGAGTTTGAAAGAATGTTAGTAACACTTGGAAAAAATAAATTTTATGCACCTCAGCCTATTACAGGAGTCTTAAGAAGTCACCACATAACTCTGGCTTAGTGAAAGAAAGTTGAGTTGATTCGAATTCTGGATTAAAAGATACAAAAATGTAAAATCCAACAAAAACTAATCGGAAATCGATCCGTTCATCTGCTAGGAGGAGAGAGGAAGATTCTGGCGTGCCACATGTCGATCGACGAGGGGGAAAACGCATTAGACAGGTGAGGGACACGTGTCGAAGTTTGCGTGGAGCAACTCGTCAGGCGTTGTGTGGAACGACTCTAGTTGATTGGTGACATGCGACTTTTGCAACCCATGATCCGCCGCTAATCGACCCGCAAATCGTTGAACTGACTGATCTGTGATCCAACCGAGCCGACCCGAACTGATTCAGCGATCCGCCAATGCAGGTTTCCCTCCGCGACGGCACTCGCGTGTGAATCCTGCGAGTAGGCTTCCTTCCAACGCATGTGGGTTAGTTTTTTACAGTTTCGACTTCTGTTTGCTAGATTTTTATCCCAATTTCAATTCTAACCATATTTTTATGTGACTTAGGACTTAATTGAGGAAAATCACCCTCCTTAGACACCCTATTTTTATGTGCTTTGATTCTAGTTAAGTATTATTTGCACACCCAATTAATTTTATTGAACTAGATATTATGTTAAGACTAGAAATTTGTAGTTGAGCTGGTTTTAGACTTAACTTTTCCCTGGTAGCCTAATAGACCACCATGGCTTACAAACTACCTTGAGAGTTGTCATTCGGTTGCAAGATGTGTGAATGGTGTCAATAGCTTCATGGGAGAACAGGGGTTTCTGATCAAAACTTGACTGAATCTAGCTATTTTTGCATGGGAAACGAGAGACCCACGTCGTACAACCTATTAGCTGGATGGGACAAGGGAGAGGTTGCGCCTCATAGAGGGTTACCAGTCATTCACAGCACGACAAGGAACTCTCATGATTTAAAATGAAAAGACGAAGACTAGAATAGCCCCAAAGGAATAAAACTAGAACCATACGTCTTAGAGCCGATGAGAAGCCCTGTGAATTTGTTACTAGAACACGATGAGAGCCTACAAAGTAGGTGGCTTACCGAGTATAATTTTTCTACTCATCCTTGCTACACTTTTCTTTCCTAGGTGTGTGATGCTACGGGTCGAGAGAAACGTACTTGAGATATGTGGATGGCCATAGACGAAATTGTACATGTCCCGGGGTGTCAGTCTATTCTTCTTTTTGTACGCAAACTTTCACGTCTTTTATTGTCAAAACTAATCAACGATTTAACACATTGTATTGATAAAAAAAAAAAAAAATTATGTATGAATGTCTTTTCAAATATTTTTTTGTGTTCACATTATACATTGTCATTTTGAGTCACGAGCGGTTGTTAAGTTTTGGGTCGTGACAAATATGGTTTAAAATACTACAAAGTGAAGTTTCAAATTTCATAAAAATTGGGCCTTTGAGAAGAATCAAAATTTCTGCACCCAAGCAAGTTTCATTCCTTACAAATTTATGATATACTATTTGACATCAAGATTTATGGTATTTTTATTTAATGTATTTTAAGTTTTAAACTGTTTTATTTATTTTTTTTATACTAAAATTATGATAATAAATTTTCTTGATCAATCTTACTCGTGGAATAATTCAAATCTCAAATATATTTTCATGTTTTGAGATATTTGATCAACAAAATGATCCAAATCTTACTTTCTTTTCGAGTCAGTTCTTATCATTTTGATGTCCGGGTACAGTTTAGATCTAAAAGTCTCATTCTTCAATTAATTGTTGAATCAAATTTTCAAGATTTAAAATCATTTGTAATAAAATCAATTTGATTCGAAGGTTTTAACATTCATGATCTAGAAATTTGTATATCTACAAGGGTTTATGATCTGATAATTCTTAGATCCCATTAGTAGGATTAGCATATCATTTTAGACCGATCTTTTTAACTTACTGTTCAACTTGTTCCTACATTAGTCTAAAAACAACTCTTTCAACTTTTATATTTAATTTTACGTCTCTTACCTTGGGTATCTGAACCCTAAACTATAATGAGATTACTCAATCCAAATCCAAACATCACTGGGTTGATCAAAGTAAATAACATACACCAAAAGACCAAAAATTTGAATTGTTAGTGATTAAAGGCGAAGTCAAATAACAATTTTCATACGAAATTTAAAATTTTAAATATTGAATGATTAAATCATACCTGCCTAAATATGCTAGTTGAGTCAAACTCAACTAAAATATTAGAGATTTGAACTTTGAACCTTGAACTAAACCGTAGACTTAGTACATGGAAGATCATGTGATAGTGCATGCACGTTGAGAGGGCTGAAATCATGCCAAATTATACGTTACAAACACCAAAATCAAGGAAGAAAAACGTTACCAGCGGCTGTTTGGCGTGGGGTTTGAACTCAAAATTGGCAACCAGTTGAGCATTTATGAGTATCTTCTTCACATTAACCTTGCTACTCTTTCTCTACATAAACATATACAGAAAAACAGTAAAGGGTACCCATAGAATGATGGAGTTTCGTTCAACACTTAGTGGTTTGATAGCAAGTTTAGTTCTTGTTTATTGCTTTGCAGAAGAGAGGCAAATATACTTAGTTTTAATGGAAGAAAGCTCAAACGAAGACCATCTTCTTCAAAACACACTAAAAAGCTACACAAAGCTTCAAAGCTTCAAGCACATAATGAATGGCTTTGCAGTGCACACAACGCCATCAGAGGCCGCCAAGCTAAGACAAGCCAATGGAGTGAAATTAGTGGAGAGAGATAGAGGAGTGAGGAAGATGACAACTTACACCCCTAAGTTTCTAGGGGTGCCCTCCAAATCAAGGTTATGTTCCAAGAAGACTAAAACTAGCCCTGATGGGGAAGGGATTGTTATTGGGTTTGTGGACTCTGGGATTGACCCAACACACCCAAGCTTTGGTTTTGATGATGGTTATGAAGATTTAAGGCTGTTTTGTGAAAAGGGTCGGTTTTTTCCATTGAGTTCGTGCAATGGGAAGATAGTTGGGGCTAGGTTTTTCTCGGCGGGGGCTCGAGCTGTTGCGAAGCTTAATTCTTCTGTTGATTTTCTCTCGCCGTTTGATGTAGAAGGCCATGGGAGGTGCGTTTTTTTGTTGAGGATTGTTGGGAGGGAGCTCTATATTGATTAATTTAGGGAATGACCGTGAGTCTATAAATAAGAAATACATGTCCATTGGTATAAGGCCTTTTGGGGAAGCTCAAAGCAAAGTCACGAGAGCTTAAGCTCAAAGTGGACAATAACATACCATTGTGGAAAGTTGTAGTTTCTAACATAGTATCAGAGTTATGCCCTTAACTTAGCCATGTCAATAGAATGCTCAAATGTCGAACAAAGAAGTTGTGAGCCTCGAAGGTGTAGTCAAAAGTGACTCAAGTGTCGAACAAAGTGTGTACTTTGTTCGAGGACTCAAGAGAAAGAAGTTGAGTCTCGATTAAGGAGAGGCTATTCGAGGGCTCCATAGGCCTCAGGAGAGGCTCTATAGTATACTTTGTTCAAGAGGAGGATTGTTGAGGACTGTTGGGAGAGAGTCCCACATTGGCTAATTTAGTGAATGATCGTAGGTTTATAAATAAGGAATACATCTACATTGGTTTAAAGCCTTTTAGGGAAGACCACAGTAAAGCCATGAGAGCCTACACTCAAAGCGGATAATATCGTACTATTATGGAGAGTCGTGATTACTAACTTTTTTTTATCGTATGTATATATGTTAAGTTTGTGTTTGTTATGGTTTGGTTCATTGGCTTCACTGTGTGAACTCTGATCTCAGCCATGTCGCTTCCATAGCTGCCGGGAATGGTGGAGTTCCTGTTTATGTTAATGGTTTTTTCTATGGATTCGCCAGTGGGATGGCACCACGAGCAAGGTACATTAAATTTTTTTAATTTATTTTCTACCTTGCACATGTTTCATAATTCATTGAAAGTATATGAGATACACTCTCTTTTACTATTTTTCTAACGAAAACGTATCGAGAATATAAGTCTGCAAGTCTAGAATAAAAATTGATACTAGACAAGTTCCATTAAATTAGAGAAAAAGTAAGTAATTTGAGAAGAGTGATTGTTTTTTGTGACAGAATTGCTGTCTATAAGGCCGTTTATCCAACCATGTCCACTCTAACCGATGTTGTTTCAGCAATAGATCAAGTAAGCTCTTTTCATTTTCTATTATTCAAACTAATTTCTTCCAATCTTCTTTACGAATCAAAATAAAATAAGATTTCAGGTTCGTATTCCGAGTTCGTTTCGAATAAGTGCAGGCAGTGATCGATGGAGTTGATATATTGGCATTATCAGTCGGACCAAATGAACCACCGGAGGAAGGACTTACCTTCCTAAGCATATACGACATTGCCATATTATCTGCTACACGAGCTGGGATCCTTGTGGTTCAGGCAGTTGGAAACAACGGCCCAGCCTCGGCGACCGTCGTCTCCTACAGCCCGTGGGCAGTCGGCGTTGCAGCTTCGGGCACTGACAGAGTTTATCCGGCCTCACTTCTTCTTGGGAATGGCCAGAAAGTTGGAGGAGTAGGATTATCTGGTATGTCACACTAAAACTAAGAGATGATAGGAAGTATGAACAACATATTCTCACAAATAAGTGAAGGCAAGATTCTAAGAAAAGTTTGTCCCGAACTTTGGAGACATCCAATGTTTTTTCTTATTAAGCTTACTAGATTTAAACACATAACCACAACCTATTTCATAATTATTTAGTTTTAGATCTATAAACATGATTTTCATCTATTTAAGCAACAAACCCAACTGGTACTATTTGGATTGGATTTGAATAAATGATTTGAACAACCTGAACCAATTTAACCCAACAATTTATGGTTGGATTGAATTCATTATTTAACAAAAGTTGTTTGAGTTGAAAAAATTGACAATCCGAACAATTGTGTTGAGTCTAAAAAATGTCCTATCTCGATCGCACCCAACTCATAAACACCCCTAATTTAAAGAATTTTAAGCCAAAGCCAAAGCCAAATTTTAAAATAGGTGGGTCTATACATTTTTGTGGCTATATTTTTTGGGATCTCTATTATAGTTCTCAAAGCAATTTTCTTAACAAAGGCTTTCCCCTATATTCTAAGCATCTATCATCTTCCTCAGGACCCACTTTTTTTCTACATAAACTTGTATTAGCCAAGGATGCAATGAAACAAAATGGGACAATTCCCAGTGAAGAGTGCCAATATCCTGAAGCTTTTGACCCAAATCTTGTCCAAAACAGCATAGTCCTCTGCTCTTTCTCTCAAGGATTCCTCAATGGCACCTCCTCCCTCGCAGCCATCATCCACACTGCAATGACACTCCGATTCATCGGCTTCGCTCTCATTGCAAATCCCAACTATGGCGATTTCATCGCCGAGCCCATCACTTTCAGACTTCCTGGCATTCTTATCCCGAACGCATCAGATTCTCAGGTACATCTTCACAAAACATAAGCTAAGTTAAACGCCCACTTCAATAAAAAAAATATATTAAGTTCACTGTAACTCATCAGCTTAAACTTTTGGATTGCACATGAAACAAAACAGGCGATACTAAACTACTACGAAGCAAATACATGCAAGGATGCCAATGGAATGGTCAGTGAATTTAAAGGGAAAGCAGCCATAGGAGAAGGAAGAGTTGCTTCATTTGGAAGCCAAGCACCAACAGTTAGCAGATTTTCATCCAGAGGACCAGATTATATGAACATGAACAGGACAGTAGCTGATGTGCTAAAGCCAGATATTCTTGCACCTGGCCACCAAATTTGGGCTGCTTGGAGCCCTCTCAGTGTTACAGAGCCACTTTTGAAGGGTGAGCTTACATAAACTTACGTTCCATCTCTCATTTTTAATCACTGTTTGTTTAGGTTCTTCATAGCTTTTAAAATTTCAAGGCTAATCTTTCAACTTTCATCGAATTTCACCTTGTGAGAGCTCAATGAAAGTTGTAGCATGAAATTTTGAAAGTGAAAGAACCAAAACAGAAAGTAGATAAGAACTGAAGAACCAAAAGTAATCAAAAGACATATTTATGTAATATGGAAAGGGGAGAACAAGTGAATTGAAACATAGCTGCTGAATTAAATAGGTTACCAATTTGCACTGATGTCTGGGACAAGTATGGCAGCACCTCATATAGTGGGAATAGCAGCACTTATTAAGCAAAAGAATCCTTCTTGGACTCCTTCCATGATAGCTTCTGCAATGTCAACAACTGCCACAAAGTATGATATGAATGGAGACCTTATTCAGGCTGAGGGATTCGACATTCATCGTTTATATCCTTCTACTCCCTTTGATTTGGGCGCTGGCCTCGTCAAACCGACCAATGCTTTGGACCCAGGACTGGTCTTCCCAGCAGGTAAGTTCCAATGATACACACTACCTTTTCACTACATGGTAAAATGTGTTTTTTGACAATCTCAAAACTACTTGAAAACACTTTTACCTGGTTTTGGGTGCGGGACTCCTCCGTTAGTAAAGTACTTTACTGAAAAACGTTATTCTTCGAGTGTCGCCTAACCAAAGGTCACATGTTCAAATTCTTGGTTGATCTTAGTAAGAAAAACTCTTGATGTCTCAAAGTTTAGCTCTTAGGTAGGCACAGACTAAAAACACTATTCCCTAAAAGCATGCATCCACACATGCCCTTGAAAACACACAAACCAAACCATTTCAACCTGCAATTAGATGGGACTCTACGTCTAGGTCTTATTCCATCTCAAACTCAGATTAGGAAGAGTGCCCTTAAACTACAAATCAATCAAAATACACAATACAAAAAAAGAATTCAATTCTCGACGAGAAAGAAAAAAAGGGGAGGGGAAGAGGAGATTCAGGATAGTCACTCGACTCCATATCTCGTGAACATAGATTCTTCTTTCATTTTCAATTCCTTTCGTGCATCTTTCTTTTATGATCTATTTACTAAGATAGGACAGGTCAGGGGTAGGGAAAAGGGCTTTTTCAACTTTACAACCGGAATAAGGAACCTTAGAAACCCTACCTGTCGAGCAAAAAATGGAATTAAGTTTTTACGATCAGATGATATTCCAGTCAGTTATATTTTCCATTTTTCTACATTTTGTACCTGTTTTCTTATTCCTGTGTTCTTATAAATGTATTGATTCAGTTTTCAACATTAGCCAACAGATTCAATCCAACCCTATTCAAACATAAAGAAAACTAACATCTTCCTGAAACAGAATATGAAGACTACATAAACTTCTTGTGCTCATTACCTGGGGATCCTGCTGTCATAAAAAATACCACTGGAGGACAGTGCAACGCCTCTGTCCCACAGCCACACCCGGCAGATCTGAACCTTCCTTCAGTCACAATATCGTCACTGGTTGGGCATCAGGTGCTGCACAGAAGAGTGAAGAATGTAGGAACCAAAGTGGAGACATACGTGTGGTCAGTGATCCCACCAAATGGGACAACAATCAACATCAATCCACCATGGTTCACCATAGCACCAGGAGGACTCCAAAACTTGGAAATACAGATCAAAGTTACACACAAAATGAATCACTTTACCTTTGGGGAGATTCTTTTCACAGGAAGTTTAAATCATATTGGAAGGATCCCTTTGTCAGTTTTGGCTGTTTCTGTATCCTAAAGTCAGGATTGGTTTGTTCTTTTCAACTGAATGTTAGTTTCTAGACGTAAAGCAAGCTCAAAACGATGGATTTTACCAGTATAAAAATTGGCAATCCACTATAGGATGGTTAGACATCAAATAGACTCTATCAAAGTCCGAAGTTGAAACTCATCTGAAGTCCAATCTAAAACCCAAAATGATAATTTTTGAAGGGCATGAGCACCACAACACTAGGATCTTTAAAAGGTTGCAAGCCAGACAGAGACATGGAGAGAATTTCACATGTGCAAAAGTGTTGTGACACAACATGAAAGAATCGTGGGTAAGTTCTTTTGCACACATGAGGGGAAATCACAGTCATTCTTTTATCCCAAAAAATAAAATAAAAATAAAAAACCGTGAGTATTCATGTAAGGACAGAATAATGAAAAACTATTCAAGGAGTATGTCACAATGTAGTTAGTAGTTTTACACCATTGAATGTATCAGAGAGAAACTAAAGTATCTTGAGTTTGTATCTCATGATTATTAGAACGAAATGCTGGACTTCCGAATTCATATCCAACAGTAATTAAGAGGCAAACCACATTTGACAGCCTCACTGAACAATTTTTCTAGATTATGATCATTCTGTGAGATGTTCGTAAAGTTGAGAGAAAGGGAAGTGGAAGAACCAATCCCAGTTTTCTTGGGGAGTGAGAATTTTTTTTAGTCACCTTACATTGAGGGTTTAAATAGCCTCGACAGGTATAATAACACCACTGTTTGGAGCTACCTTATGAAGGTCAATAGAAAGTAAGGACCAATTTCGAGTGATCGTGTGTGACACTTCCTCTAGAATTGAAATGTTTGTGTAGGAAAAGATGCAACTCATTAAGGATGAACCAATATAAATTCTGGTGTTTCCATTCAGACTATGAAGACTTTCCTATAACATCTCTTTTGATGTTTCAAAGACAGAAGAAAGTTTGGATTAAAATGAAGTTCCGTTTTCTTTTAATTTGTGGCAAGTTTTGTACCATTTTCTAATATAGAGAATACTCCACTTTTACTTTGGGTCTGTCATGAAAAACCCAACTGGTCTCTTCTTACAATGAATAAAAAAAAAATATCAAAACATCGAGAAACATCACCAAGAAACTAAAGAAGATTGCATAAACATGTCATGATCAGTTCTAATGACATAAATCTTCTATTACCACTATCAATCTGAATATTGAAGTTTAACACAGCTAAATGGGCTCTTCAATCCAGTTGGTCAACATTTTGTGTTTCTTTCATAATTTCACAGCAAATGAGCCTAAACTACAATGGAAAAGTAGACTCAAATCAGAAGGTGAAAAGCACGTTACCCTGTCCAGCACATACACTCTTTACACCGTGGATACCTATAAACACTCCTTCCTTTGGGCCTTGTAAAGACGTGCTTGGTTTGCCTAACTGCTTTCCTAACTCTTATCTCAAAAATTCGCCATTCTATAGTGTTGTTCTTTGAAAATATGCTTGCAAGCCTTCGTTTGTTTGGTCGAATCGTTGGCATCCTTCCCCCACCGTAGTATATCCGATAACCGGATACAAGAGACGACAACTGACTCCCAGAATCTGTCATTGCAAATGCATTGGCAGCCGTGCAGCCTATGTAGTCCAATGCCGCCAACTAAAAGAAAGCAAATCCATCATTCAACTAGTATGTGATAATAAGACAACAAACTACTTGAAACCTTTTCATATTAGGAGACAAGAACTTTCACATCAACACTAAACTGATGGAAGGACATAGAGGCAAGATCATAATCCAGAAACATAAATTACAACTTTCTTGAGAACTAAGGAAGCATTGCAAATATGCAAAGAACGAGTACATAACTTCAAACAGGCAGAAAGTTTGAACAACAATTTCTCATCCATGTGCTATACAACGTAGTGAACGGATGGACAGGTTCTAAAATAGAAAGGACATGAGAACTGACGTTCTGTTCAGAGTATTCTTGTCAGAGAAAATTCTCAAGAGAATTACTTACCGAAGTTGATCTACACGAGAACAAAAATAATATTCCAGCTAACTACCATAGCAAGAAACATTGTTATTATAACATCCTAACTGATTGATAGTGACAAAAGCGTGTTATTACCTGAGAAGAAAAGTTCATAAAGGGTTGAAGCTCTGATGTTGAAAGCAACTTCTCCTTTGTAACCAAATTAGGATACAAGCTAGTTAGAGCAGTCAACCTTGAACTCCCTCCATATATCTGTGAGCCTGCCACAAATATCTTTGTCTTGCGTTTGAAACCAAGAGCAGCAAGCATAAGTACTGCTTCCTCTGGTGTCAAGGGGCAAAGACCTTCTGACCTAAGTTCAGCAGGAGAAGGTAATCTGTAACAAGAAACCGTTTTAGTTAAATCATATTCCAAGACATAAATAATAAATGCCTCATTTCGTTTTAATGAAATGGGACTTGCAGACTCAGAAAGATTTTGGAGGAACTTATGAGCAGGAGAAAGGAAGAGGAAATTTTTACCATTTGTGCACTTATGATTATGATTTGCAGTCACTGGATAAAAGAAAAAAGGAAAAAAGAAATGTCGATGGAACATTGAAAAGAAAACAACTTGATGGTTGGGAAAACTTATTGGCTAGATATCAGATCGTCCATCCTCAATGGTAAAGTTAAAACGACTATAGCCAATTATACATATGACGTTTATGATAAACAGTTAGAGTGCCACGGTCATAAATTAAAAACAGAGGAGAGATCAAATACAGGCATAACACAACGCACAAATGTAAAATTCAGTCATAAAAAATCACACAATAAACAATAAAAGCGGAAAGGGCACCACTAGGTCTGATATAGGTGTAACGGTCCAAGCCCACCGCTAGCAGATATTTGTCCTCTTTGGGCTTTCCTTTTCGGGCTTCCCCTCAAGGTTTTTAAAGCTTGTCTTCTAGGGAGAGGTTTCCACACCCTTGTAATGGGTGTTTTGTTCTCCTCCCCAACTGATGTGGGATCTCACAATCCACCCTCTTTGGGTCCCAGCGTCCTCGTTGGCACTCTTTCCTTTCTCCAATCGATGTGGGACCCCCCGCCAAATCCACCCCTTCGGGGCCCAGCGTCCTTGCTGGCACATCGCCTCATGTCCACTCCCTTCGGGGCTCAGCTTGCTCGTTGGCACATCGCCCGGTGTCTGGCTCTGATACCATTTGTAACAGCCCAAACCCACCACTAGCAGATATTGTCCTCTTTGGGCTTTCCCTTTCGGGTTTCCCCTCAAGGTTTTTAAAACGCGTATGCTAGAGAGAGGTTTCCACACTCTTATAAAGGTTGTTTCGTTCTCCTCCCCAATCGACGTGGGATCTCACAATAGGTCCCTCGTAAAACAGATCAATACAATGAATTTGAACATCTTCACTAGGCTATAGGAACCTTAATAAGTGAAGAATCATTTTCTTTCTATTTTTTTGGGCATGACAAGCATGCAATGAAAAATAAGCAAAGAGTGGGAAATCTAAATCTCCCGTCTAAAATAAACTGGTGGTGGAGTGTAGAAGTCCGACTGAAAGATGTAGGCCTCAAGGGTAAGCCACGAGGTTAATATAAACAAGGAAAACTACATTAACAATAGGTAAATAATGATTGAAATGGTTGTGATCCTCTTGCACAAGCACAGAGAACAAATCAGAAAGATGACTGAACCAAATCACAATACGTACTTAGTGGTTTTCTGGAGAAGAGACAATGCTGGGAAATGGATTGCCCGATATGCTTCCAACTCTTTTCTTTCTTCTTCTCCTCCACCAAATTCACAAAGAGAATGAGCCACCATATCAATCTCAAATCTCAAATGTAGAGATAGGTATCTGGAAGCTTTTGGAGAGCGAGCTTTGTTTCCATTCATCGTTGATTTTGCAAATGGACCAACAAGGCGTTTATCCAACGGCCCTGGGTAGCTTTCTTGTTGACGTAGCCTTTGAAGAAGCAAAGCACCAGTTTCTTGAATTTTAGGAACAAACCTCAGAGCATGAAAATTGCATCTGCAACGAAGTCTCTAGATGGAATACCCGAATCAGGAATATGAAGCACAGAGAACAGCTACATAACTAAGAAATACGAAAAAAAGACAATGATCCAACATCCATTCTTGTAAAACGAAAAAGCATATAAATAGCAAGGATGTCCACGTCAAATTACCTGTAACTCAAATGATAATGGGTCAAACGCTAGTCGATTACCAAAACCCAGAAAATGCACGACCTTATTCTTATTTATAATAGGAAGAATGTTTTTCAAGTAAAAACTTGGCTTGGCCTCTTTAACAACATCAGCATCCGTTACCTGCAGAGCCATTAAGATTATCAGACAACTGAAAACACACACATAACTCATAAGGACGAAGGAACGTAGGAAATAGATCAACTGAAAACTTACCACACTTCCAATCGCTTCCAAATCTAAGGATCGTAAATTATCTGGAAGTTCTTTCACTATATGGATGTCAGGAGTCATGTAGTTAATAAAATGTTCCTCCTGGTAGATATCGCTGAATTGACTATGATATTACAGAATCTTGTACCATCAATTTTCCATCCAGAGAAATATATAACAGGAAAATTATGCTTATTGACTGAATAATGAATGGCATGATAAATACAATGAGGACAAAGCAGTTCAGTTAAAGAGAACATCATAAACTTTTTATTAAGTTGGTTTCTATAATCACTATATCATCACAAGAAAAGGGAACTTTCATATTTTTCTAGCCAATGAAACATAGAGCTCTTGCCTACTCCATCCAAATTAGGAAGTGGAATTAATACATTGAATTCAAAAAGCATCAAGCCTCTCTTGTTCGAAAGAATCGAATGTAGGATTCCAATAACCTTTATTGCATGGCCTCAGCAAAAAAGTCAACCAGCCAGCCGCAGCCTTCTATTTTTTATAGATAAGTTCATAGCAGCCACATTAACTTCCAAATTAGGAGCAGTTTTACAATTTTCCCCTAAATCGTAAAGCGATAGAACGAAAAAATGTACATCTGAGAAAGACTTGCTGCAAGACCCTTGTTCACAAT